TTATATTTGTAGTGACCGGTTTTTGAAATTTGCCACAATAGATAGGTTTAGCATCTACACCTAATTTTTTTTTTCTCAAAATTACAGAAACGAATTATTCATTTTATTGGAAAATAAAAAAGCCTGAAAATAAACATGACATGTTTATGAAAATATTCAACTTTTTACAGGTGTTAGTAAATTTCCTTTGGCCTCTATTTTGAGTAAACATTTTTCAGTGTAAGCATTTATAAATTGCATAAAGAAACTTTTATTTGAAATTTTAATAATTTTCAAACATATTGCAAACGATTTTTAAATTTTCTTGATTACAAATGACAATTCTCTTGATCATCTTTAGTTGGTAATACTATTATGATTAGATATTCTGGCAATGCTGTTGTGTAGATGTTATGGTACAGGGCCAATGTACGCGGCATGCGGACGTATGCGGCAATCAGCTGCTCGGCTTTCCGCTTGAATATTTTGGTGAAGGGACAATGCACGCGTACAAAAAACATACAAATCAATCACTTTTGAATGTAAAAATAACACAAATTAACTCCAATATAATTTTTATTTGTTTTTTAAATATTTTTTGTATAAAAAGTTGTTTAATTTTTTTTGTTTTTGTTGATTTTCAAAATGTTGAAATAAAAAAATTTATATGACAATTGATTTTCAAGCGGCCGTGCGGAAAAAAAATATTCAACTTTGCCGCATTGACGCGTTGTTCATCATTGCCAAATCAAAATATTCGTAATGTGTCAATATTTTTATATGGAAAATTTTGTAAACATAGTAATTTTATTAATGCTGGTAACGCTGTTGCCGCTTGAAGCCGCATGCCGCGACATTGGCCCTGCACTATTATCCTGCTTTTAAAGCCCCCTTCAAACGAGCACACAAGTAATAAGATCTGTCAAAATTTTGTGTAGAAGAGAAAGGATGGGATCGTCTAAACGCAATACGTAACGAAATCATCACACATTGAGAGAAAATACGGATGGAAAATTTGACAGTCGTATGGCTCTCTTCATTTTTTGAAATGATTCAATGTGTTAAATCAAATTCAACTTTTATATCTTAACGAACAAAAACCCGAGTGAAGTCTATAAAGATTTATAAAAAAATTGTTTAAAAGAAAAAAAATAAGACGTTTGATTCCGGAAAAACTTAAAATTATATTAAAAAAATAAAAAGAGGACTTAAATTGATATATTTATAAATTAAAAAAAGCAAAGAAGCGACCATGTGCAAAAATGTCAAAGAATTAAAAATTGTTAAATAAGTTTAAAAACACGTGGTACTAAAAAAAAAAATATAAATATTGGTACAATTAAAAAGAAAAGAATATGTGCGAAAAATGTTATGAAAATAAAAATTGTTAAAAAAAATAATTTAAAAAACGTGCTAATAAGAAATTTATAACTATTGTTTCAAATAAAAAAATTAAAAGAACAGGCCACGTGCCGGAAGTGCTAAAAGGCCAAAAAGAAATTTTTAAAACGAAAAGTTTATTTTGCATTCTCTAACATCAAAGATTAAATTTGCTGTTGAACTTTATTCGGGAGAACAACGTAAAAGTCCACCCTAATACAAAATATTCTCGCATAAAGAAAATCATTATCGTCAAAATTAAAATATTCGGCCTAAAATTGTCTTTAAAAATTAACATATTCGGTCACGTAACAACCTTAAAAAAGTTCTTTCAAAATAACGTCAGTACGAAAAAAAATTTTATAATTACAATTATATCTGAAAGTTGAATGGAAAAAAAATATGAACATTTTCCCAAACAAACTTCTATAAGTTTTAACAAAATTCCGACATCTTAGACCCACTGTGTGTATTATTGCAGAGAGAAAAAGAAATCAAAAGAGCAACAAAATGCAAAAGAAGACAAAATAAGTAATGAGTGAAAATAAATAGAAACGAGCTTAAAAAAACCGAAAGAGAAAAGGAAGAAAACAAGGAATCAAAGTGTGGTGAAAAGTAATATGAAACAGAAAAGTAGACGTAAAAAGTAAATTGTAAAGCAAGAAAATAAAAATAGAAAAGAAATAAGAATAAAAATAACTTGAAAAAAAGAAATAAAACATAGCAAATACAAATAAAAGTGTTAAAGACCATCCAAGTAAATTATGAAATTATGAAATAACTAACAAAAAAAAAAAAAAAATTAATTCAAAAGTCAACAACTAAAAAGAAAACTATCCAAAACTTAAAATCAATAACTATAAGCCAAAACTCATCTCTAATATCATGTGTTTAATCCCACTATCGTCCGTCATAATCATCCGTTTGCCCAGATTTGCTGCCATTCAAAATCATCATCAGTCCATCATTTGTTTATCATCCGTTCATCTCTCATCCCAACTAAGGAAACAGCAAAGAGTCCATCACAACTGCCATTGTTTTTCCCCTTTTTGGCCCAATTTATTAACTTAGCTTAATATAACTTATTTGCACTTATCTTTTTATTTCTAATATAAAGATTAGTATAATAATATTTATTTTAAAATTTTTAACCAGATTTACTTTTTAAATTGTATATTACATTTCCACGCAGAAGTTGTTAAATTCAATTCTGTACATAGTTATTTTTTTAATGCTCTCCCTTTTTTATTATTCCCATTCAAATTATCACATTATAAAAAAAACAAGTAAGAAATTATAGTCGGGCGAGTCCGACCATATAATACCCTACACCTGTTACAAAAATAAAATAATAACTTGCCTTGAATTATACTTAAGCCATTTATTGTTAAATAAAATTGTGGACATTTAAGACGAATTTTGAAGGGGGCTTTGAATAGGGGCTATGGTCAAATGAGACCCTATAATTATAAAATTCATGAGGGTTATTAAGGCTAGTATAGAACTTGGTTTTACAGCTTTTTGTCGAGATAGGAGTATATTAAACATAATTATGAACTTAAAAGGCCTATTCGGCGGGTTCAGTTGTATGGCGGCTAGGTGAAATAATGGTCCGATGTTAACCATTTTCAATAGGCTTCGTCTCCGGTAGCTGTTACAAAAAAAATATATTTTAGTTTTCATAATAAAGCATTTAAGTTGAATTGTACCTTGCCTCAAATATACTTAAGCCATTTATTGTTGAATAAAATTGTGGACATTTAAGTCGAATTTTGAAGGGGGCTTTGAATAGGGGCTATGGTCAAATGAGACCCTAATTAAAAAATTCATTAGGGTCATCAAGGCTGGTGTTTCTTCGTCAAATCCGACAGGGTTCAAGCCAAATAAATAAACAAAAAAAAGACAAAGATTTATATTTTAAATTCAAAAATAGAGAATAAATCTCAATTTCATTAATTTACCTTAGTAAATCAAAAATAAAAACTATTTGCAGAAATGCAAATGTCGGCTTCTCAAAAACGAATGACCAAACTTAAAAACTAATTTTCTATTGGTGGCAAACAATATTTAAATACCGTTAGCGGTTTACTCGTTAGTTTTATCATAGTTTTCCATCAAAGATGTAAACTAAAAGTAGTGTATTACAATGCAATACACTTAAAGAAAAATATCCGCTCATTAAATAGTACTTAAACATTGCCGGCACCTTGCAACACTTAAGGTGTTGTAATTAAATAATTATTAGGCCATTAAGGGCCTAAGTGGACTGTACTAAAAATAAATAAAAAAAAATAATAATAAAAACAATTTTTTTTTCAAATTAAATTGAGTCATTAAGGACTCTAGTTTTATTTAAGGTGGGTCATTAAGGACCCTAGGTGAGCCATTAAGGACTCGGGTTGAGTCATAAAGGACTCGGGTTGAATCATAAAGGACTCGGGTTGAATCATAAAGGACTCGGGTTGAGTCATAAAGGACTCGGGTTGAATTATAAAGACTCAATGATTAATACGGCGACAATTTCGATATAATCCATCCGAAAATGGTATATTGGGCAAGTGGAAGGCCAGGGCGCTGCAAAATCCTGCCTTTCATCATCATCGGAGCTACTTCTGGCCCCAGAACCAACGCTAATTGGAGCCCTTTAAAAGGTTCCAAAACTAATTCCAACACGGAGATCGGCGGAGTTTTTATTCGATCCATTTTGTGGACTCTAGCCATTATAACAAGGCGTTGAGTACTTTCGAACCGCGACTCGATCTCCAACTGCCATATTCGTGATTTCCAATCTTCACAACAGGAATCTTCAGTTTAGAGACCAATTCCGCACAAATGTAGCTATTTTGGCAACACAGGTCCAAAACTGATCTCACCAAAATTTTTCTGTGTGTCAAACAGAGGTGTATCTGCAGTGTTGGGGAAAGAGAAGGAAATGGTGGGTTTCTTTTCAAAACTTGCAGGTACCCCCACTTTTACAGTTTTTACTAATGTGGCCACTAGACAAACATCGATAACAAATTTTATATAACGCCACTTTACGGAATCTATTTTCCAAATTCAATTTCTCAAACTTCCGACAGAATCTCAAGGTGTGATTCTTATTTCTGCATATCGGACATTTTTGGCGTGTTTGATGAATGACCGGATTCGAGCCCGAAGCTTCCACTTCTTTATTGGTTGTTATAGTGGGCGGTGGAACTATGGATGGCACTTCAGCAATCTCCATGGTTGCTACTTCATCCACGACTGGCGGTACGGTTACCGTTGAAATATTGGACTCCGAAGGTTTAGGAGCGCTCCAATTTAGCACTGCTTCCTTTAGTGCATCAACATTTAGAAACGATGAGTTGGAAATATCCTTTGGGTCTTCATAAAAAAGTTCATCTTCCAACAAATCGTTGAGTTGTCTAACAGAGTCCATTATTCTAGGAAAAAGAAAAGTTAGTAGGTAGAAATTGATATAAAATGGTACTTATTAATTTGGTAAAACAACAAGTTTGGTTATTGGTCTATTAAGAGTTCCGTTCGACGTCCGAACGTCGACGACGCGAACGTGACCATCAGAACCATTGTAAACTTTCACTACTCTACCTATCTTCCATGCAGTAGCAGGTAATTGCTCATTTCTCAAAACCACTAAATCATTTAGACTTATGTACATCTCTTTGAGGATGTTGCCATTTATATCTTTTGTGCAAAGTAACTAAATATTCCTCTTTCCATCTTTTGCAAAATTGATGAATAAGTGCTTTCAATTTCCGATATCGATTTACAATACTAATCGAACTTTCATAAATTGTCGGTTCTGGCGATGCCAGTATTGCAGAACCTATTAAAAAATGGCCCGGTGTGAGCGCAATAGGTTCGCTTGGATTGTCCGGCATGGGACACAAGGGTCGAGAATTTAGACAAGCTTCGATCCTAGCCAAAATTGTCGATAGTTCTTCGAAGGTGAATTTACAATCTTTAACTTCTTTCCTAAAATGGAGTTTGAAACTCTTGACACCAGCTTCCCATAGGCCTCCCATATGAGGTGTGCCGGCTGGAATAAACTTCCATGTCAAATTCTCATGACCAATCGAAGAACACATTCTAACTTGACATTCCTTCAGAAAAGTTTTAAAATTTTTAAAAATCTCATTCGAGGCCCCTACGAAGTTTGTTCCGTTATCCGAAAATATTGTTTGAGGACAAACTCTTCGTGAAATGAACCGATCAAAGGCGGCTAAAAAAGCATCAGTGGTTAGCTCCGAAGTTGCTTCCATATGTATAGCTTTGGTCGAAAAACAAACGAAAACACATACATAACCCTTTGTTATTCGACACGATCTACCCGTAAAGGTTTTTACATCGAACGGACCTGCAAAATTAACCCCAGTGGTTGTAACTGGTTTATTGATATTTGTACGCTCCTGAGGGAGCGCCGCCATAATTTGACTGCATGAACGTTTTCGATCAATTATGCAGCGTTTGCAATGATGAACTACTGTACGTATCAAAGTTCGCAATCGAGGGACCCAATATTCACATCGGTATATTCTTAGCATTAACTCGTTTCCGCCATGAATCGTCAGCTGATGAACTAATTCTGCGTTAAGTTTCGCTAACCGACACCCGTAAGGTAGAATAATGGGGTATTGTTCCAGATAAGATAATGAAGGCGATTTGACTAATCTACCATTTAATCGCATCACTTTCTTTTCATCGAGGAATGGATTTAATGGAATCAATGAACTCTTTGATGGTAAGGGTTTCTTTTCCAAGAGACAACCATATTCTTCGGCATAAAAAGCCTTCTGAGCGACAATAATTAAACGAAGTTTCACCATTTTAAGCTCAGTACATGAAATTTGTCTTGTTTCGTAATTAAATTGCCCTCTGATGGGTGACACGAGTTGAAAAATCTCATTATGTAGGCTATAACGCGTAAAGCTCTAGTAAGCGATGAGAACCTTTCCAAGACGTCTTGATATTGTGTAAAGAAAGTAACATTCATAACGTTTGCGAACTACTAGACTCCATAAATGTTAGAAGCTTGGCGTCAACTAAATGATCAGTTGGCAAACCTTTCAAGATTGACTTATCATTCGAAGTCCATTTTCTTAATTCGAACCCAGCAGACGACAAAGCCGTGATCAATTGGTCTCTAGCTAACAACGCACTAGAAACGTCGTGAGCTCCAGTCAATACATCATCGACATACATTCCTTCCCTTAAAATCTTCTGCCAATTGCCAATCCATTATATCTTATTCAGCAGAACTCCTATAAAGAATTCGCTGGAATGGTGTATGAGATGATTGTACTCGAATTTGTCTATATATTTTCGAAATATCGCAATTAAATACAAATTTAAATTTAATTTAATTAAACACAACCCTAAGCTTAGTAGTTTTACTCTCAGGTTTCAATACAGGAAGATGAGGTAAATAGCACGAGTGTGTAACGGCCAGATCTCCAGCTTTTATTGGCCTCATATGATCCAGTTTCAGATACCCCTTCAGCACCTCATCGTACATTCTCCTCACATCTGGTTTACGCATAAGAGACGTTTCAATTTTGACAAACTGCTTCAGAACACCTGTTTTCGAAATTCCTAAATTAATTTCCTGAGCAAATTCGGGTTTAAAGGGTAGTGAAATTATATATCCCGTATAGTGGTATTCCTATATATTTCCTCACATCTCCTATCGGAAGGCGACAATTTCTTTCGCTTGGGTGGCTCTTCTAGCTCCCAGAACTTCAAAAGATTTTCATTTAAGTGTTCTTCCTCCGTATAGCTGATAAAAGTGGTAAAAACGCTGATAGAATTTTTAGGCGAAATATCGATGGGTCCTATCAGGACCCAACCAAATACTGTCCTCTGAGCCATTAAACTCCCAACTATGTTCGACCGAACCTCACCCAACACTATACGTGTGTATAAATCAGCGCCTAATAACAAATCTACTGTCCTACTTTTATAAAAATTTCTATCCGCTAATCTTATGTTGGGTAATTCACCTTTTATATCCGAAGGACAACCGAAGGACGGTAAATTACCTGATATGGAAGGGGAACCTATTCGAATAACACAACATTTCTTCGAAGTAGTAGAAGCTTCTTTATGAACTCCGGAATTCGTTACATTCGTAGAATGTGACGGAAGTCGCAATTGATTACGCAAATGTTCCGAAATGAAAGAAGCTTCCGATGCTGGGTCAATTAAGGCTCTCGCTGGATACGTCGTATCATTACAAAGAATCGAAACCATAGCCGTTCCCAATAACACAGACGAATTCTGTGAAATATGGAAGACTTGACGATTCGAATTAGCCAAAGCTGCGGCCGAAGTAGCTGGCTCTTGCGAATTTGAGTCAGACGAATTGACAACGGGTGCAACATTTTGACTATGAGCTGAAGACGATTGAGAGTTACCAACAGGCTTCTCTCGGTGAAGCAATGTATGGTGTCTTTTCTTACAAATGGAACAACTATGTTCGCTCTTACAGTCTTTAACCTCATGGGTAGGCGCGAAACAATTTACACAGCAATGGTGTTTCTTCACTGTATTGTACCTTTCAGAAACTGACATTTTCTTAAACTGACGGCAAAAACGTAGTAAATGACCCGGTTTGTGACATAGAATACAAGCACTCAAAGAACTTGTATTAGAAACGTGAGCCTTTACTTTCCGTTCTGTCCCTTTTTTGTCAGTACCGGAACTCGTAAGGTCGCGAATGCAGTCCAGAGTTTGAATTCGCTCATTCAAAAACATATCCAAATCTTTCCATAAAGATAAGGCAGTTTTATCCTTAACGGTCTATTCCCAAAGAGAGAAGGCTTTGAATACAAATGAACACTATAATTGGGTCCCAATTCTCGGTAGGAATTTCATAAATAGACATTGCCGTTAGAAAACCATTAATTCCGCGTTGTAAAGTCTTCAAAGATGAACTTGTTTCCGTTACTATCGTTTCCAAACTGAACAGTTCCTTCAATTGATTGTTCACTAACATGCGCGGATTCTCATACATGTCCCTCAAGTTCTCCCACGCGATATCAAAACCTTGAAAGGAAAGATAATCCCCACTAAACATGTGAGTGTCACAAGGTGGGAGAGGTAAATTATGACAAATATTGTCGAAATTCAAATCATTATCCGCCTTAGGTTTTGATTTAGCCGCAAGTTCGACAATCTTAAAATCGATTAATTCCGAACAACGCGCATACACGTCCATGGTAACGTGATATTTACTTTCGACTGCTTGTATATCATCAGGTTCAGTGTTATCAGATGATTGAAGATCATCCATACACTTATCAAAAGCTTTTTTCACTTTTTCCCACAACATTTTCAATTCACTTTGTAGGACTTTAAAATAATATACGTGTCGATTTTCTCCGCGAAGTTCATTAAAATTAACCTCAAATTTGACGACCATGTCCGCATCGCGAGTGAAATGTTCTATAGAAGTCAAAGGCATTTTCAAAAATATCAATTAAACTTTAAAATGGGAATTATAAATTTCAAAGATAGAAAATGCACTATTCTATTAGTAATTTTCCAAAGATACTGTATTAAGTCAATTTGACCGACCGTAGGGTGACTTTTGTTTCAATTGCAAAAGATGAAGAAGCACTAATCACAAAGACAAAATTCCGATAAACAAACAAATTACCGAAATAAATTTGCGAGAAATACAAAAAAAAAAAATCCAAAAAAATTAAAAAAAAAATAAAAAAAAACAATGGAATTATCAATAAAATGTTGTAAGTACTCTTTACTTATGTTGTGACACAGTATATTATTTATACTAACAGTTGCCGTCACTTTTATTTTTAAAAAACACCACTACACTTTTATTAACTAATTCACAATTTTCTTTTATATTATTTCTCCTTCTCAATATTTAATTTTTATTATATTTGATTATTTAATTTATTCTTCCTTTATTAGCACACAAATTTATAAATTTTATTTCCTTTAATTATGGCTGTCCGTCCATAAAAACAAACACAGCCTTGATAAAAAGGTATTGATCATGAAATGTCAAAAGGGTACTGTATAAACACTGTTTGACTAAGAGTTGTATTTTATAACTTTGACAAAATTAATTCACAATAAGAATTGATTCACAGTAATAAAATTCTATTGCAAATGTCAAACAATCAAAATAACAAAAAACCCAACTTGTTGTTTTCTTTTACATACTTATTAAAAACACACATACGTTTATACACTCTTATGTATGTTTATTTGTTTTCCTTTTTCCAAAAACCACTACCACTTTTAAAATCAATCCACAATGTTATTAAAGGGCTAATATAAATAAACAAAAAAAGACAAAAATTTATATTTTAAATTCAAAAAATAGAGAATAAATCTTAACTTTATTAATTTACCTTAGTAAATCAAAAATAAAAACTATTTGCAGAAATGCAAATGTCGGCTTCTCAAAAACGAATGACAATATTTAAATACCGTTAGCGGTTTACTCGTTAGTTTTATCATAGTTTTCCATCAAAGATGTAAACTAAAAGTAGTGTATTACAATGTAATACACTTAAAGAAAAATATCCGCTCATTAATTAGTTCATACTTAAACAGCTGGTATAGAACGTGAAAAAATGGACCGATGTTAACCATTTTCAATAGGTTTCGTCACTGGAACAATAGATCATGTGCCAAATTTCATTGAATTATCTTCAAAATTGCGACCTGTAGTTTGATTACAAGGTTTACATGGACGGACAGACGGACGGACATAGCTAAATCGACCCAGAAAATGATTCTTAGTCGATTGGTATTCTTTAAGGTGGGTATAGAACCAATATTATTGTGCGTTACAAACATCAGCACAAACCCAATATACCCTCCATATTAAAGTGATGTAGGGTATAATAATGTAAAACCAAAATAACTTAATTTTAATTAGATTAAAATATCTTTTAAGGATCTAATTTTTTAATAAATATATTCATGAATACCTATGAAATGGCATAATCGTTTTTAATTATCTTCTAAAGATTTGTTTAAATTTAGTTTAGATGTCTGTTTAGGGGTTCTAGAAATAGTATCTGGTCACTAGCACATAGGTTGTGGTAGGGTT